AAATATTGCCGGGTGGCCAAACTAAGAGATTCTCCACGTATGCCATTATACCAGAGGTAGAGATAGGCATTGCCTTTAAAATGGCTTATAGGAATTATGCCTTAGACCCGTACGAGTTTGTCAGCAAAGAGTTAAAAGGGGGATGGGTTACCCCGGTATATCACGAAGTCGAATTAAACTATTGCCGGCTGGCTAAACTAAGAGATTCTCCACGTTGGCCATTATACCAGACGTAGAGGTAGGCATTGCCTCTAAAATGGCCCATCGCACTTTTGCCCTAGACCCGTACTAGTTTGTCAGCAAAGGGTAAGGGGAGTACTCTGGTTTATCACAAAGTCCAAATAAACTATTGCCGGCTGGCCAAACTAAGAGATTCTCCACGTGGGCCATTATACCAGAGGTAGAGGTAGGCACTGCCTCTAAAATGGCCCATCGCACCTATTCCCTAGACCCGTACGAGTTTGTCAGCAAATGGTAAGGGGAATACTCTGGTTTATTACGAAGTCCAAATAAACTATTGCCGGCTGACCAAACTAAGAGATTCTCCACGTGGGCCATTATACCAGAGGTAGAGGTAGGCATTGCCTTTAAAATGGCCCATAGAACTTATGCTCTAGACCCGTACGAGTTTGTCGGCAAAGAGTTAAAAGGGGGATTGGGTACCCCGGTATATCACGAAGTCGAAATAAACTATTGCCGGCTGGCCAAACTGAGAGATTCTCCACGTGGGCCATTATACCGGAGGTAGAAGTAGGCATTGCCTCTAAAATGGCCCATACCCCTTTGCCCTAGACCCGTATGAGTTTGTCAGCAGGTAAGGGGAGTACTCTGGTATATCACAAAGTCCAAATAAACTATTGCCGGCTGGCCAAACTAAGAGATTTTCCACGTAGGCCATTATACCAGAGGTAGAGGTAGGCATTGCACATGGAGAATCTCTTAGTTTTGCCAGCCGGAAATAGTTTATTTTGACTTTGTGATATACCAGAGTACTCCCCTTACCCTTTGCTGACAAACTCGTACGGGTCTAGGGCGTAAGTGCTATTGGCTGTTAATGCTAAGTTTAAAGACTCTTATTGATCTTCGTAGTTTTGAAAAATGATATGTCATTGAAATAGTAACTGATAGTTTGTATTTTTATGGTTTCTTTCATTAACTGTAAATCGTCTTGTTTGTCCGATCTGCATTAAATGGAAGAAATACGATTGTATTTACGGCATGTAGTATTTTTGAGATGGGACAACGAAAAGATTATGGAATGCCCATATGACAATTAAATCCCTTTAATTCCTTTCAGCTTACGTGTAATGTCTATTTGTTAAATAACTAATGGCAAATATTTAAATACTTCGAGAAGTCAGAGATAATTATTTATCAGAACCGTATTTTTATGGATTGTTTGAGTGACTGTCCCACTTTCAAGAAGCATATGCATATTTCATCGCTTTTATTCAAAATCTTTATTTAGAGTAAGCGTTAAATTTCTATTTTCAATTATTCTGTTATATATAATTGTTTCAGTTTATATCATTTCACTTATCACATAATGTTGATGAATCATTGCTTGGTTCTATGTGTATGAAGGCATTTACCTTTTTATTTACTTTCATTTAAATGGTGTTAAAAGACGCGGACCTTGCAGAAGTCACATATTGATTTAAGATTTAATATTGCTATAAATAGCAGAAACATATTGGATACTTACGGCAAAAAGTTATTTTATTGTAATAATATATTAATTACCCACACCACTTCATCGAACGCGGTCTCATCTCATGAATACTATTGACGGCTGGCCTCATGATGGGGCCTTCATTTCATTATTCTTTATCTACAGGCCATTATTAAACTGGACACTGGACGAGTTATTGTCATATTTATCAATGAAACAAAGGGTATATGAAAGATTATCGAGATCTAGCTCTTTCATAATTTGTAATACTGTGAATTATTACAATATCAAAATAGCGTATTCTCAGAAATTTGAGAAACTTTATGAAGATTAAGCGTTGTCAGTCAATTAAAAATTTATAATTTTGAAGAAAACATTGAAATATATATTACTCTGGTCTACTCAAGGTAAGAAAGTTTTTATGCCTTAACAGAAAATATCATTTTTCAGTCTTATTAAGCTGGTATGATTCCAATTTAAATCCAAATAAAAGCAATGAGTTATTTAAGAAAAAAAAATTACCGATCTGCCTATTTTTGTACTTTAAAAAAGTCAGTTTGATCATTTCAACATGTTCAAGGCCAGGTTCGTCGACCCCGAAAAACCTTGTTAATAGTACATATTTAATTTTAAAATGATGTCAATGCAGAAAAATATTTTTCATTCAATTAAACATTTGCATTGAAACACAGAGTCGTTATAAATTGATATCTCATCCTATAGGCTACGCCTATATATTAGTACTAAAAACATATATAACGTGTTACATAGTTTAAATTTACATATGTAAACAATTAATCAAGGAAGCGATGTGTACATTTCCAGAAGAATACGCTGTAATCATGTTAATATTTGCGGAAATGTGGAAGTGTGGGTTTTTTTACGTGATACGTTATTAACATGATAATATTTGTCTCGTTGGTGCATCAATCGCCGTTATTGCCTGTTTAACAGACTGAGTGCGCTTTCTTCGACATCGAGGAACTGTGGTTGTCGAGTCAAGAAACCCGAATCTCGAAACAAAAACAGTAATAAAAACATACATCCAATAAAAAACTAGAAGAAAAAACCCACAAAATGAAAAAAAAAGATAACATATTTCTCCCCTTTCTTTGTCAGCATTTTGTTGTACTTATCACTACTGGTTCAATTCCAAAGAGTTTGCGTCAACTGTAACGATGTCGATCTCTCCTTTTTTCCCTCGTCGTTGTGTTACCGTCTTTTTTTAATGAATGCACATCTGCTTCTTTTTTTAAAATAGGATCAAACTAGGGTCATATGGACTATTTAATCAGAATATCATTGACCATAGACCATAGACCGGTTCCAACTCTACAAGAATTTTACGATCTCTATAAAAATGGACCAATCGTTGTTAAATATTTCATAAAAGGCAAAAGACGTATCAGATCTACATTTTTTTCGTCACTTTTAACCTTTATCGAAATAAAAGGGAAAATAATTTGGAAAAATTACGTATCGATCTGATCAGATAATCTACATTTTTAACTTATTTTTATAGTTTGTTCTTATGCTGTGTTGTTGCACCACTGCCCCAAGTTAGGGGGAGGGTTTAAATTTGTGCGCCCACAAATATGTTTAACCCCACCACATTCTGTATATGTCTGTCCCAAGTCAGGAGCCTGTAATTTAATGGTTGTCGTTTGTTGCTGTTTATCATATTTGCCTTTCGTTTATTGTGATTTACATATATCAGGCCATTAGTGCACGTTTGAATATTTTTACATTGTCATTTCTTGGACTTTTATAGCTTGCTATGCGTTCTGGGTTTTGCGCAGTGTTGAAGGCCGTACGATGATATATAGGTACTAGCCTTCTGCGTCATTTGGTCTGTGGTGAAGAGTTGTCTCATTGGCAATCATGCCATATCTTCTTAATTTAACACCAATTTTGATAAACATATAGACAATGATAGACCGAAAGAGAAAAACAAAAACACAAACAAGTTTATCTCATTAGACAAGAAGAAATACGGCACAAGTGTAAAATTATGATATCATACCCCTTGAGCACAGGAAAAAATTCTATGACCATCCCCATACGGCTCGAGAGACAAATACTGTCAGTGTAAAGGAAAGGAGGAGCGCGGTGTACCAATAATCCATGACACAATATCTATACTATTGTTCGTCATTTGTGTATTTTACTCGTTTGCCCTTTTGTATTCCGCTTAAACGAGAGGCGGAAGATACCAAGAAGTATTCAAACTTTTAAATCGAAGACAAACTTACAACACCATGGCAAAAAAGGAACAACAGACAAACAATGGTCTTCAAATCACAAAATAGAAAACAAACTAAGAACTGAGCTACACGAATACCACCAAAAAACCGGGAGTGATCTGAGGTGCTCCGGAAGGGTAAAGGTAGTAGCTATTAAAGGCCCAGACATGAACAAATGTGAAACAATTCAAACGAAGAAACCAACGGCCTAATTCATGACAAAACAATAAACGAAAAAAATAATTAAAAAGACAGCAATAAACGACAACCAGAGGCGCTTGGGGAATATACCCCTTTTTTTCTAAATATATTTTTTTTGTGTTTTGAATTTTAGTTAATAAATTTTTATATTTTAACTAACTTTCACTTATTCAATGTGTTAATGCTCTTATCCACAGGATATTACACTAACAGTAGTTTATAATATATGATGCCCCTCTTTTCTTATTTTCCACGTGGAACTTTGAAAGGTGGAGGCATTCCTAAATCGTACGTGACGACAACCACAGAACAACAGGTTCCCGATCCAGGACAGGAAAACGCGAAACTTGTCTGGGTCAGACATGTTTGTGAGTGCCAAACTGTCCTCAACTCGGGACAGTGGTGTAATCAACAGCACAAAATAAGAAGATAAGTTGGGAATGGCTTGACTCATCAGATCGGCATGTTGCACAAAAACAACTAACATAAGGACAAAAGACTTAATGTACCGATCTAAGAGTTAATTATGTTATCTGTAAATTTTTATGTTAACTATTTTAAAAAACCTATTATATAATATTATCAACCATAAATCTTTTCGGGGATTTTTTTTCTTCAAATATACAAGACACATTTAATTCATTACACGTGTTTTTATCCTATATCAAGAGTTCGATGACTACTGACTTGTGATTAATTTTTGGAATTTCCTCTATTTAAAAGATGTATAAAACAATTCCATATCAGTTTTAATATTTATTTAAACACAGTGGTTTTTTTTTATAAATGCCAAATCTTAATTAATTGTATGTTGTGTCGAGGCCTCAAGGATAAGACATGATTAGCATATGTATAACCACATACTAATATACTCTTCACATATTCTTTTCGTTGCATATGTAACTACGACCATACAAGAGTAGGACTGTGTTTTTTCATTTTTTTTCGCGATGAAATTAACTGATATAGACCAGGGATATTCTTGGGTAATACTGTTTTGTAAGTAAAATGCGTTATTGTAATTATATTTTATAAATAACACATAACTGAGAGGAGGATAGAGTAAATTGTTACAATGTTTTTCTTTGGGTAACACTCTGCTCTATCATACTTTCAAACCAGACTCAAGCTAGCGACCAATTCCAGCGACCAATCAAGCTAGCGACCAATTCTATCGACCACTAAACTTAACAGTGAGCATCAACACGTTAGAGAATCATTCAGAGATATGTCTGAAAATCACAAATTGACATTATGCTACAACGTTCTACTAATACGAAATACGTAATATATCGCTTTTAAATGTTTAATGGACCACGTATGTCTACATTTGCAATAAATAGGGGACGGAATAATAAATACATATCCTTTTTAGAAAGGAAAAAGTAATTAAGTTTGTTTAAGTTTTACTTTGGATTTCAATCTTTCTAACAGTTAACGTGAGTAGCGTGCTTGCTCAAGGCTTATGCTCTAAATCAGTAATTCAGTATTTGAAGATTTTATATTGCATGGCATTATACATTGATATAAAATCGAGATCTTCGTTCCTTGCAAAAAATGAATGAAAAAAAAAAACAATAAAAAAAAAAAAAACAAGTTAAAAAAAACCAAAAGTATCTGGAATGTTATTTGTTTGCGATACTTTAAACTAAGATTTTTAACGTGTAACAATAACTACATATAGTATAGATGAATTAATAAAAGGCAATCTTAGTACATAACGGCTAAACCAAGTCTCAAGATTCAGAGGTGTATTAAGTATTGTAGAACAGAATAAAACAATCTTAGTACATTAGTGCAGATGTCAATTTACGGTGAGAAAAATAAAAAGTTAAACTGAACAAGAAAGACGCTATATGCGGTAGAAAAATCATATAACGGCTTTCTATACTCTCGGCATCCTCAAATATCGTGTATTTCCTTAAAATCCCTTTAGGTAAAGAATTGCTATATCGGCCCGGTCAAAAAGAACATACAAGAAAGTAGTACATATTTCAAACAAAATAGTTCCTACGCATATAGCCAAAACTTTGTCAATAAGTGAAATATTTGGTTTATTTTGGTATAAATGAAAGTTTAATCACTTGGGATCACTATAGGACCCTTGTTGAAAGTCTCTTTTGAATGATAAAAAAAAAGAAATTATAAAGCAGGGAATATTTGCCCTGTTGCTCAGATTTTGCTCAGTACCTGTTTTTGTACTTCCAAATTTCCGGGAACCAGTCAACAAATATCGGTACTGTTATGCTGATTTTTTTCCAGGAGAAGAAATGATAATGTATATTTTGCCATTGAATAACTGTCATATAATTTGAAGTTAGGACAATGGTTATTATTTTTACCATACTGGGTAAAAGGGCCGGACGGGGGTGCACTTTCCCACCCGGGCATTTCCATGAATAGAAGGGCCTGGGACAAGCTTTCAATCCCACTAGGTGTGGGTAAAAACTTTGCCGTAGGGAACTGTACACAAAGACTGAAAAATGTGCCCATACCCATAATTGATAGGTAACTCAGACTTTGGGTGGCCAGTGAAGTCTTCAGGTGCACTTTCCCACCCAGGTATTCATATGAGTTGAAGATATGGATAATAGCTTTCAAACTAACCACCTGTGGTCAAGAACTTTGCCGTAGGGAAACGGGAGGATAGCGATTCCTGCCACCACCCCTGTGCTGAAAAATGAAAATTTGGTATGTTGTTGTGAGCTTCCGGTGCACTTTCCCACCCGGGCATTTCCATGAATAGAAGGGCCTGGGACAAGCTTTCAATCCCACTAGGTGTGGGTAAAAACTTTGCCGTAGGGAACTGTACACAAAGACTGAAAAATGTGCCCATACCCATAATTGATAGGTAACTCAGACTTTGGGTGGCCAGTGAAGTCTTCAGGTGCACTTTCCCACCCAGGTATTCATATGAGTTGAAGATATGGATAATAGCTTTCAAACTAACCACCTGTGGTCAAGAACTTTGCCGTAGGGAAACGGGAGGATAGCGATTCCTGCCACCACCCCTGTGCTGAAAAATGAAAATTTGGTATGTTGTTGTGAGCTTCCGGTGCACTTTCCCACCCGGGCATTTCCATGAATAGAAGGGCCTGGGACAAGCTTTCAATCCCACTAGGTGTGGGTAAAAACTTTGCCGTAGGGAACTGTACACAAAGACTGAAAAATGTGCCCATACCCATAATTGATAGGTAACTCAGACTTTGGGTGGCCAGTGAAGTCTTCAGGTGCACTTTCCCACCCAGGTATTCATATGAGTTGAAGATATGGATAATAGCTTTCAAACTAACCACCTGTGGTCAAGAACTTTGCCGTAGGGAAACGGGAGGATAGCGATTCCTGCCACCACCCCTGTGCTGAAAAATGAAAATTTGGTATGTTGTTGTGAGCTTCCGGTGCACTTTCCCACCCGGGCATTTCCATGAATAGAAGGGCCTGGGACAAGCTTTCAATCCCACTAGGTGTGGGTAAAAACTTTGCCGTAGGGAACTGTACACAAAGACTGAAAAATGTGCCCATACCCATAATTGATAGGTAACTCAGACTTTGGGTGGCCAGTGAAGTCTTCAGGTGCACTTTCCCACCCAGGTATTCATATGAGTTGAAGATATGGATAATAGCTTTCAAACTAACCACCTGTGGTCAAGAACTTTGCCGTAGGGAAACGGGAGGATAGCGATTCCTGCCACCACCCCTGTGCTGAAAAATGAAAATTTGGTATGTTGTTGTGAGCTTCCGGTGCACTTTCCCACCCGGGCATTTCCATGAATAGAAGGGCCTGGGACAAGCTTTCAATCCCACTAGGTGTGGGTAAAAACTTTGCCGTAGGGAACTGTACACAAAGACTGAAAAATGTGCCCATACCCATAATTGATAGGTAACTCAGACTTTGGGTGGCCAGTGAAGTCTTCAGGTGCACTTTCCCACCCAGGTATTCATATGAGTTGAAGATATGGATAATAGCTTTCAAACTAACCACCTGTGGTCAAGAACTTTGCCGTAGGGAAACGGGAGGATAGCGATTCCTGCCACCACCCCTGTGCTGAAAAATGAAAATTTGGTATGTTGTTGTGAGCTTCCGGTGCACTTTCCCACCCGGGCATTTCCATGAATAGAAGGGCCTGGGACAAGCTTTCAATCCCACTAGGTGTGGGTAAAAACTTTGCCGTAGGGAACTGTACACAAAGACTGAAAAATGTGCCCATACCCATAATTGATAGGTAACTCAGACTTTGGGTGGCCAGTGAAGTCTTCAGGTGCACTTTCCCACCCAGGTATTCATATGAGTTGAAGATATGGATAATAGCTTTCAAACTAACCACCTGTGGTCAAGAACTTTGCCGTAGGGAAACGGGAGGATAGCGATTCCTGCCACCACCCCTGTGCTGAAAAATGAAAATTTGGTATGTTGTTGTGAGCTTCCGGTGCACTTTCCCACCCGGGCATTTCCATGAATAGAAGGGCCTGGGACAAGCTTTCAATCCCACTAGGTGTGGGTAAAAACTTTGCCGTAGGGAACTGTACACAAAGACTGAAAAATGTGCCCATACCCATAATTGATAGGTAACTCAGACTTTGGGTGGCCAGTGAAGTCTTCAGGTGCACTTTCCCACCCAGGTATTCATATGAGTTGAAGATATGGATAATAGCTTTCAAACTAACCACCTGTGGTCAAGAACTTTGCCGTAGGGAAACGGGAGGATAGCGATTCCTGCCACCACCCCTGTGCTGAAAAATGAAAATTTGGTATGTTGTTGTGAGCTTCCGGTGCACTTTCCCACCCGGGCATTTCCATGAATAGAAGGGCCTGGGACAAGCTTTCAATCCCACTAGGTGTGGGTAAAAACTTTGCCGTAGGGAACTGTACACAAAGACTGAAAAATGTGCCCATACCCATAATTGATAGGTAACTCAGACTTTGGGTGGCCAGTGAAGTCTTCAGGTGCACTTTCCCACCCAGGTATTCATATGAGTTGAAGATATGGATAATAGCTTTCAAACTAACCACCTGTGGTCAAGAACTTTGCCGTAGGGAAACGGGAGGATAGCGATTCCTGCCACCACCCCTGTGCTGAAAAATGAAAATTTGGTATGTTGTTGTGAGCTTCCGGTGCACTTTCCCACCCGGGCATTTCCATGAATAGAAGGGCCTGGGACAAGCTTTCAATCCCACTAGGTGTGGGTAAAAACTTTGCCGTAGGGAACTGTACACAAAGACTGAAAAATGTGCCCATACCCATAATTGATAGGTAACTCAGACTTTGGGTGGCCAGTGAAGTCTTCAGGTGCACTTTCCCACCCAGGTATTCATATGAGTTGAAGATATGGATAATAGCTTTCAAACTAACCACCTGTGGTCAAGAACTTTGCCGTAGGGAAACGGGAGGATAGCGATTCCTGCCACCACCCCTGTGCTGAAAAATGAAAATTTGGTATGTTGTTGTGAGCTTCCGGTGCACTTTCCCACCCGGGCATTTCCATGAATAGAAGGGCCTGGGACAAGCTTTCAATCCCACTAGGTGTGGGTAAAAACTTTGCCGTAGGGAACTGTACACAAAGACTGAAAAATGTGCCCATACCCATAATTGATAGGTAACTCAGACTTTGGGTGGCCAGTGAAGTCTTCAGGTGCACTTTCCCACCCAGGTATTCATATGAGTTGAAGATATGGATAATAGCTTTCAAACTAACCACCTGTGGTCAAGAACTTTGCCGTAGGGAAACGGGAGGATAGCGATTCCTGCCACCACCCCTGTGCTGAAAAATGAAAATTTGGTATGTTGTTGTGAGCTTCCGGTGCACTTTCCCACCCGGGCATTTCCATGAATAGAAGGGCCTGGGACAAGCTTTCAATCCCACTAGGTGTGGGTAAAAACTTTGCCGTAGGGAACTGTACACAAAGACTGAAAAATGTGCCCATACCCATAATTGATAGGTAACTCAGACTTTGGGTGGCCAGTGAAGTCTTCAGGTGCACTTTCCCACCCAGGTATTCA